ATTGCTTATTCAGGGGTTCCATCATTTTTATATTTTGCTCTATTTTTTTGTCAGTGTATTCTTTAGAAGCACTTAGTACTTCTTTGATTATAGTTATCACTACATTTTTTAGTTCCGAAATTATTTCTGATCTGATTTCTTCTATACCTTTCTGCAGTTGTTTCTTTACTTCCAACACTGTTATTTCAGAGATTTCAGGGGTGTGATTTCCAATTTCCTCAATGCTAGTGTCTTCTGCATTTGTATGGGGTGGACTTGGGGCCTGAGACTGCATTTTGTTCCTTCTCTTTGTCATTTTGTATACCACTGTCTTCTGACCTTTGGTGTAGAGCTTAGATAGCTTAGCACCAGGTCCGGATCTACGAAGTTCAGATTCCTTCAGGTGGGTGTTGCTTGGATCTGGCTGGGGTCTAGCTGCTGTGCTCCACTTCTTCCTGCTGCAGCCATTGGAGTTGAACCCTTTGTGCCACTCTGGCAATATGTTCTGCTCCTGAATCAGCTGGGTAGGTCTTGCTTCTAGCCTCTTTGCAGGGAGTTCTGCTGAAGGGTTCCAGGCCTGGCCTGTGCTCTGGGTCTATTCAGGATCCAGTGGGCCCCAGGCGGTCTCATTCACACACTGGGCCTGTGCTCTGCGTCAATTCAGGATCCGGTGGCCCCAGGCGGTCTCACTCACTTGCTGGGCCTGTGCTTGGGGTCTATTCAGGACCCATGGGCCCGGGTCATCTCACCTCCTGCACCGGGCCTGTGCTCTGGGTCTATTCAGGACCCGTGGGTATCGGTCATCTCACACGTGGGGCCTGTGCTCTCAGTCCGTTCAGGATCTGGCGGCCCTGGCCAGTCAGCACATGTTTAACAAGTACCTACCATGTGCCAGCTCTGCTCTAGGCCCTGGAAAATGGCTGTGGGGAAAATGGGAGGGCAGAATGAGCTTAGGGTGTCTGAGGTGTCAGCTGAATTAGCGAGAACAGTAACCTGGTACAGGGTGAAGTGGGCAGTATTCAAAGAGGCCAGGACATGTGCCCCTCTGCTGGCCACAGTGAGCGGTTATACACCAAGGAGACTGCATTTCATTTCAAAACATTGCCTGCGTGACTTGATTCATGGCTCTCTCCTGGCTGCTGTGGGGAGAATGGATTATTGGTTAACAAGAATGGAAACTGAGAAGTCGATGCATTCATTGTGTCATCATGGCTTCTAACTAGAGTGTTGTCAGAATGGAGCGAAGTGAAAGGCTTGGGTACATTTTGGAAATAAAATCAAGATTTCCTGATGGAGTGGATATGAGTGAAAGTAAAAATAAAATGAAGAATAACTCCTGGGTTTTCAATTTGAGTAACCAAGAAGTGTTTAGTGGTGCCACATCTGGATAAAAAAAGACTGCAGGAGGAATGATCCCAAGGGACAGGTCAAGGACGGTGTCCAGAAGATTAGGTTGTGAGTGGATCTGTCAAGTAGGCTGCCTCACAGGCTAACTGGGTGTTCAAGGCGAAGACCAAAGTTGGGCAGTCATCAACGTAGAGGTGGTGTTTCAGCCAAAGCACTAGATGCATTCACCTAGAAAAAGTTTTTAAAAATTAAAAAATTAAATGATGGGAAGTTTTAAATTTTTAAAGAATTCTTAGAAAAAATAAGTGGGAGGATTAAGCCTTGAGAGCAAGATGACATTTAAAAGCCCAGCAAAGGAAGAGGAGACTGGAGAAGAGGCTGAGGGAGAAGTGAGAGCACGTGAAGCTGCAGAAGCCAAGAGAAGGAACTGTTCCAGGGAGAGAGTCACAGCCCAGGCTGAGCTGGGTGGAACGCTGCTAAGTCACGAAGTGAGATGAGGACCGAGAGAGGACACCCGGGTGCAGTGGTGTGCCACTGCCTGGTGGCTTTGGAGATAGAAGATTCCATAGAACAGTGGCTACAGAAGTGAAAATGGAATGGTTGAGAATGAATGGGAAGTGAGATGGGGTGACAGTGAGGTTTTGCTGAGAAAGCAAAGAGAAACGCAGAGGAAGGTAGAGAGTACACAAGTTGAAAGTACTACTGTATTTCATTTTATTTGAAGTAGGAGATAGAGGGGCATGACACTGGATGAATATTTTACGTATCATAAACCTATACTACTTTAAAAGGGGGAGGTGAGGGCTGGGGAGATAGCTCAACAGTGTAAGTACCCGTATGGAAAGCACAAAGACCCAGGCTCAATCCCCAGTACTGCATGCTGTGGCAGCCCTGGATCCCCCAGTGTGCTGAGCTGCCCACCAAGACCAGACATGGTGGTGCACACCTGTAATCCCAGTGTTGGGGAGGCTGAAAACAGGAGGATCACTGTGAGTCTGAGCTGCATAGTGAGACTCTGTACCAAATACATCAGTAAATAAAAGATTAAAAATACATTTTAAAAGAGGGATGAGATAAGTAAATAAATAAATATGAATGAATGAATGCCAGTGCAAGCTAAGTCAGCAGAGAGAAATGCTGACACTGCAGGAGAGGAAGCAGACAGGTGCAGCCTCTTCTTGGAGAAGAGGAGGCTGGAGCGTGCCAGCATGTCAGCCTCTGGGTGCTCTTCCTTCCTTTCCCAGTAAAAGAAAGGGCAGGCACTGGCCCTCAAGCACCAGTTGGTGGATTTGGTGATGGGAAGGAAGAGATAGTGTCGGTTTGCTTGAATTTTCTCAGTAAACTGACTGAAGCTCATTTTAAGAGCCAGGACTTCTGAGCCCAAATGTCTTGAAACTTAATGAAAGTGCTAACCTCCTTTCTATAATATACTTTAAAGAGCAAAGCAGATGGCAGGTGTATATTTTCCTCACATCACTGGTGTTCAGCCTGGAAAAGAGTGTGCTCAGTTTCTATTAATGAAGACACTTTAACAGAAGAACTACTTAAAGGGAGGAGCATGGAATTAAGACAGTCCAGAAGTCATTACCAACCTCAGCACAGTGAGCCAAAGACAGGCGTGACACTCTGAGGTCCCCTTGAGAGCCAAAGTCAGGACGGCAGAGCCAACAGTGTGATCATTCATTGAAGAGACAGGTAGCCCCTCTGGGGATTGGTGTCCAGGCAGAGAGCGGGTAAGAAGTATCCTACCTTCTCTTTCCACTTGCCTCTTGCTGCTGTTTCCCAATGGCTGAACTCAACAAGAAGCCACCTGGCAAGGAAGCCAAGGGGATGTGATTCGTGGTGAAGCCTGAAGCATAGGTCAGATGGCGAATAACCAGCACATTCCAACACTTAATGCAGTTAATTTCAAAAGGCTTTGAAAACCACTCCAAGCATAAGCTTTATACCCAATGCCTATGTGTAGAATTCATCTGATTATTCGCTACTAGGGGTTTGGAAACTCAGCTAACCATGCTTTTTGATGTGAATCATCATGGATACCTATAATCTACTGACAGCTTTCAAATGTGGTGTTTGTTTCTAGTCTTCTTTGTTTCATCCATAAATATATTAACCATACACTAGGACTCCTCACTTGCCATTAGAGAGCCCTAGGAATGTATCCATGTCATATTTTTGTAAAATTTTTTAAAGTAATAGTCTTTTAACTGCAGTGAATGAATACAGTAACCTTTCTCACTCTGTCCAATCCTAGAGAGGTCTTTCCACACTTCACTCCCACTATATGTAGTTTTAGCTCCACTAAACCTGGATCTGCTTCGTTTTGTAGAAACACAAGTGTCTCTCCCACCTTTGGGTCAGCGTGATTAATGAACCTCTAAGTGGATATTTGGCAGGGGAAAGCATGGCAAGAAAATAAGACAAGCTAGGACAGAGGGAGCAAAGTCCTGGGCAGTAGCAGGAAAGCACTGTCCCCTGGGCGGCCACTGCTCTGTAGTGAAGGGTGCCAGGTGTCCCCAGGTACCTGCTTATCTAGGGGCCAGACTCTGATGCTGCTCTTTATATTTTCAGATGCAGATGGAAACCTGTGTCGAAGTAACCAACTGCTGCAAGTCATGCTGACAATGCACCGAGTCATCATCTCCTCTGCAGAACTGCTCCAGAAAGTGATGACCCTATATCCTTGCACTCGGTGGCTGGAACCCCAAAACGGGGCTTATTCAAAGTACAACTAGACATCTGAAGTATGCTTTATATTGACTTGTTGGAAATAACCCTGAGGGGTAAATAGGTCCATATATCTTTGCAGAGTTAGGATGTGTGTGTGTGTGTGTGTGTGTGTGTGTGTGTGTGTGTGCACGTGCGTGTGCGTGCGCATCCATGCATGTGCATGTGTGCATGCATGTGCATCTTCTTTTGCATGGACAGTAGCGCTCCCAGGTATGCTTACAGAAGTCACCAGCAGTGTGTCTGTCTGGTGAAAGCTCTGTTCTGCAGGGCAGTCAGGATCCACAGCCATCCTGTACCAACTGACAAGGGCACCAGCAGCACCCCAGCAATCCTCCCCTGCCTGGCTTTCCTGCCCAACATTTCTTTCCAACTCTTTAACCCTCCCCAGGCTCTGGAGAAAACTTATTGCGTCTGCGACATCCTGGGAGATCTGCTCGGGCCTTCCTGCCAGACCAAAGCAGTCATGACACTCAGAGCAAATCCTGCGGGGTCCCAGCCTCTTGTGGGTGCGAATCTGGGGAGTGGGGGGGACGCACCTGCTTTCCCTTTCTCACTGCTACTGATGTGAGCTTTGGAGAGAGAAGGCCTGCGGGGGAGGTGAGACCGTTTAGCGCCTGGGACATGTGTCCTGGGACTGAGTCATGATTGTGGCTGCTCTAATCCTGTGCTACTCTGCTGATTCCCCCCAGCTCATCTTATGGCTGTCAGAAAAACTAAATACCAAATAAGAAAAAGAAGTGCATCGGGCCCAAGCCTCTTCCCTAACCCACTCATGGGTCTTAGTGCCCATCTCCAAGCTGGTGGTTCTGGTAGCACCCGGAGCATGGAGGGAGCGCAGGGCAAGGCCTGGGCGACAGCAGGAACAGAGAATATGCAGACACCTTGTCTGCAGAGAATTTTAAAACCTTGAAGCAGCACCTGGAGGGTCTCTGCTTTTCACTACCTCCCTGTCCCAGTGATGCAAGCTGTGTGGGTGACCTGATGTTCCTCCTGAACATCTGGTCTCAGATGTGTGGCCTCAGGACCAACTGTGCCCAGAGCTGTCCCGCTGCTGCTGCAGCTGCTGCTGCATGGTGGCCCCTCTGCCCTGTGCATGGTCCCTCCACTGCTCACAGCCTCATTTTCTGCCTGCCTCTCTTTCTCCTAGACACCCAAACACTGCCTGTCCCTGGCACCTGCCCCTCCACCACAACACATTCAAGTGTCCCCAAACTAAAACTAATCTCATTACCCCTTTTCCTCTTCATTCCATTGCTAGGGTTAGAAATTTGATGCAAAAACATCTAAAAATAGTTTGCAATCACTATCTGTGATCTCTTTACTCCTACTCTTAACTCAGCCAGGGCTCCTTCTCAAGCACTCAGACTTTCCTCTGAGGTCACCAGTGAACTCCCAATTGCCAGTCCCAGTGCTGTTCCATCCTTGTGGACAGTGACTGTCACAGAGCCTTTGCCTCTCCATGTAGCACTGCCCTGGAGCTCCTTGCCTCTGGACTGTCTCTTGTGCAGGTCTCACCTGGCCTCTTCCCTGAGCTGCCCTTGAATTCAGGATAGCATCCGGGTCTCCCTCTCACTTGGGGCTGTTGAGGGTATTTCTGGATGTCTACCTCTGCCCTTCTGTGCCCCTCACTTTGAAGCAGTTGTTTTTCTAACCTAAATCACAGTTTGAAGATCTGGACTAATATTTCTTGCTTCCACGTCAACCATAGCTTGTTGAAATACCTTAGTCTGTTCACAAGCTCACCCTAGTCCCTGCCACATTAGTTCTTCTCTGGCATCTGTGTTTTCAATTTCAGGTGTGGTGTCATTACCAGTTGCTTAAACCAGAAATGTCAGAAGCTGTCTTGGCTCCTCCCTGGCCTTCACCTCCCACAGACTCTGCCACCCAACCCTAAGGTTTCTGTTTCAGAATTGACTTCTCTGGTCTCTCTCCATTCCTGTGCTGCCACCTAAGTGTGAGTCCCCATGGCTCTGCCCCCTACTGGTCACCTCCTCTGTTGTATGGTCCCCTGTTTTTTTCATTATCACCTTGCTGTCCTTAATGTCAGCTGGGGAGGGGGCTCACATGTGGCTCCTGGCTTGCTGGCCAAAGCCCCAGCAGTCCAGCCTGCCTGTCCAGCCCGCCTGTCCAGCCCCACGTGCACCGTCTGCTTCTGCCTGCAGCTCCCCCAGGACCTTCCCTTCCACACTGTACCTCTCAGGCCCTGGGCTTGAAGCCTTCCTCTTTCTCTGTGCCTGGGAAACATCCTGTTTCATGACCCCTCCAACAGGTTGTTCCTGGCCTTGAAGCCTTCCTTCTACTTCAGAAATACTTCTAGTGTTTTAAGCTAGGCTTCTAGGGGATTGAAAATCTATTTGATTTCTTTCCCTTTAGTTTTAATATTGCTTAAATCAAAGCCTCTCTCTCCCTTCCTCTCCTCCTTTCTCATCTGAATGTATTCTGCCTTCAAAAGCATTTTGCCTATAACCACAGAAAGTGTGAAGTGTTTTTAGGGTGTTAGTTAGTTTACGTAACTGAACCTGAGACTGTAAGTTTTGCAATAGTATAATGCATACATGTTATAAATGGCTCTTTCTAGTACTGTAACTTATAGAACCTTGTGCCTAGCTGCTGAATTTTGCTAGGTTGCAGAGGTATGGCAAAATTAAATTACAAATTAAGACAAATATAAACATGTTTTTAAAGAATACATACCCTTTCTATTTTGTGTAATTTTCTCCAGTAGACTATCCCTCCAGGCCAGGGCCCAAGACTTACTGATCTTTGTTTTTCCTAGTTTAGTGACCATCTCATGGAGGGTACAGTAACTATTGCATTATTTGGGGTAAAAAACATTGGGTACTTTTTTTTTTTTCTATTTTCCAGAACTTTTAGGTCAGACATCTGGATTTTTCTTAAGGTTAAAATTTATCCTGAGTTAGGGAAAAGGATTCTAAGCAGGGAGTCTGAAATTACAAAACTCTGTTATGGAAAGCCAGGTTAGACACTGAAGGCAAAATTATTTTTTTACACACTTGGTTTCCCTTTTTGTTTTTCTGTTTTGTTTTCTTATGGATTGAAGCCAGGCTCTTTGCTCTGAGCCCTTTTTGATTTGGAGACAGTGGCTCTCTAAGTGCATGAGTTGCCTGGCTCAGACTTTAGATCCTTCTACCCCAGCCTCCCAAAGTGATGGGAGTACAGGTGTGCCCCACCAAGTCAGACTGATTTCCGTGTTCTTTGATGTGGAAGTAATAGAACTTTTAGTTAAACAGGCAGTAGGCTCGGGTGGTTTCCTGTTTTCCACTGGAGGGGGGGTGGGATTCATTTAAAAACATGCTTTGAATTGTTTGGAGGCCTGAAAGGCGCAGTCCGCACTGTGCAGCCCTCCCTGGCCACACTAGTTAGGGAGAAAAGGAAGTGTGTTTGCACTGAGTCTCGCGGCAAGTCTCACAGCGAATGCTGAAGTTTGCCCCAGATCACAGACACCTGAGCCTCTGATGACTCAGCTGGGTGTTTGTTCCACCCCCCCCCCAGGAGACCAAGAGGGGCCTTTGAGGGGTTGCTTGTGCCATGTGCCACAGCCTCTGGCACTCATGGCCTCAGGAGGCTGGCACTTGAGCGGCCGCAGCCCCAGCACTCAGGTAGACGGGTGAGATTCGCACACAGCGGTCTCCAAGTGCTGTCAGTAGATGTCTGAAGAGCAAAGGTAAAGGCAATGAGAGGAACACAAACCCCATAGTGAAGCCACTGTGTCAAGGACTGCACTGTCCAGCTGTTTTTATAGAAAGAGAGTTAAGAAACAAAAAAAAAGTTTGAACAAGTAGAAATGGAACAAAAATACAGAACCTAAGAAACGTTATGTGGTTGTGCCTGGGCCAGAGTCCCTTTGCTCTGAGATGCTAGGTTTCTGCGACGTGGCACGAACAGATGGAAAGGGCTCCTTGCACCCGGGGCGAGGTGGGCGTCAGGGCCTCTGGCTTCACTGAGTTGGCCAGGTGCCTAGAGCTGTTGTTTTGTTTTTTTTTAACCTTTGTTGATACGTGAGGTTTTTTTCTGTTTTGTTTGGGTGCTCAGATCTCGAGAACAGATTTTATAGGCAGTAAGTTGGTTCACATTTAATGTTTAAAATTGGGACTCATTACAATTACAAATTTCACAACCATAGTTCTATAGTTTTTCACGGTCAGCTTACAAGTCTTTTTCTTTGTGTATGCCTGTCGTGTTTTTACAAGCAGTTTTAAGGGACTTTGGGAAACGTCTGATTAACGTGAATGCTATTAATTGAATACTTCCAGTGGTTTTAAACTACATTTATGTATTTTACATTTTAGATTTTTGTTAATGCTTCACAGGCCTGCCTACATCCTAAGTGGTTTTTATAACTGGAATAAAGTTACACATAATAAAACTAACATCTTAGATGTTCCCAAGCTGTCTATAAAATTAGGTTTCTATATAAACCACAAGACCAGAGAACTTAATTATACATTGTAAATTGAAGTTTAAAGGCTATCATTCTAATATGCTATTAAATGCTACAGGCACATAAAGTTTCAAAATGCATTGTTACCTTTCAAGAAAACATTAGCACAGATTTTTGCTACCTTTTACCTTTTTATATTTAATTGTAAATTTTCCAAGAATTAAAACATACACACCCACTGAAGGAAAGACCACTGCCACCCAGTTACTTGTGGATCCTGCTGGCTGGCTTACTGGATTCCTCTCAAGTGCTCAACTAGAATTCACTGAACCCAAACTGCAGCTGTTATGTCACGGACCTGACTGGCAGGGGGCCTGGCCTGTGGTGCGCCCTGACGCATGGGCTGTTCCTCAGTCTCTTGAAGGAAAGAAGGTGGCAAGACCCACCCATGCTCATTGCTTGATTTGATTTCTTATTTCTTCAACTCTTAAAATAGATGAATATTCTTTCCCTAAAGTCATGTAAATTTCATGCCACTTTCCTATTCTTCTCCGTTCTTGGAATGTTTAGGATGATGAGGACCCTTGAAGTGTCCTCCAGTGTCCTCTGAGTTATCCACATGGTTTTGTCTGACTTGTCATCACAACTTACAGGGTCACTGCACTGACATCCTCTGGGTGCCTGCATTATAACTTCCACGTTATTGTTCTTAATTGTCATGACAATGAATTATTATACTTGAATATATAATTCTTCCCCTTGTAATTCACTATGCAAATGGTTACTGCAGAACTCAGTTACTTGAAACATTTTTAAAAATAAAAGGAGTTGCTGTCTTTAGCTCGCTGACTCAGGTGGACTCCTGGTTTCTGGGACACAGGCAAGAGGTCATTACTCCTCATTTCTGCCGTCTGAGCAGATTCTTCCAAAGGTGGAAGTTGCTTGGTTCTGTAACAGGCTTCCATTTCCCTTAACCACAGTCCTACCTATAAAGGTGCCTTGGCGAAGAATTCACCGGGCCTTTGTCTGAAGATCTGCTACTTTGTAAGGTAACATTTCCACTCATACTTGGAGACTAGAGTGGGCTGAAGCAAAAGCCAGAGCCTCTAGGTCTTTCTCGTCTTCCCTGCCATTCCCCTCCCCACGTGCCTAGAACTGAACACCTCTGCACACCCCAAAGAGGGCAAACCTCAGTACTGCGGAGTCCTCCACAGAAGCCAGTGAGTTTCTCTGGGGTACCTGCACTGAGATCTTATACCAGTGTTTTTTTCAGTTTTACAGCAATTCAGTATCAAGTGCCATTGGAAGGGATACAGGCATTTATTTGTATTCCTAATTATAAAGGTAATAAAGCTGAATAAATAAATACATTTTTAAAATTCAGAAGGTGATATAAATCATTCACATCCAGCTACCTATTTTGATATATTTCCTTTTTTTTCCACACGTATTTTTAAAAAAATGTAGTTGATACAAAAATGTGTTTAGTTTTATATCTTATAGTTTGCATTTAACTTTCTACTGAATGCTTTCTAGTCCTTAAAGACTTTTCATAAGTGTTTTTCATGGTGATACAGTATTCTAACATAATAAAGGCATACTTCACAGCTTCTTTGCCCCATTTTTTGGACATTTGGTTTGTCTGCAGTTCTCTCCTTTGCACCTAACTCCGGTGCACACGGCTGAGGCTCCTTTGATTATCAGATGCCCACGCGCAGCAGAATACTTTGTCGCCCTGACACCGAAGACCCCCTAGAAGCTGGCTCTCCGGGTCTGCTTCCACCCTCAGGTTTTTCACAATAGGGCAACTTAGCCTTTAGCTTTTTCAAGTCTTCTTTGTGGCCGCAAATTCCTTTATGAGCCTGCCCATTTGAGTCCTTGGCATCAGCGTGGGACTGAGTTTTAATTCCCTCCTTCTCATAGGTACTGGATAACAGAATTCTGGATCATGTTTAAAATGGATGCCAGCTTGACAAACACTATGGAGGAGTTCCAGGAACTGGTGAAAGCAAGTGGGGAGGAGTCCCACTGCCACCTGATCGATACAACTCAGATGTAAGTGTCATGGTTTGCAGTCTTCTCCCCTCTGTGGTCCTGGCTGCTTTGCTAGGGTCTAATTCCTGGTGGAGACAGCTGTGCTCTGGCCGAGCACTGAGGAGCCTCCTAGCCAGGCAGGCCTAGGGGTCTCACCAGAGCAGATGCTTGACATTCAGTGGGAAGCTGAGAAATTGCCAGTGGTCAGCTCATAAGACTTGTGTCCAAGAGCAGAAAAAATAAATCCTGGTCAGGAGGCCAGGTAGCAGGACCTTAACTAAGATATATCCAGACCATGAGAGGCTGAGAGGGTAGTGGCCAGACTGTGCTCCTTCAGCAGCTGACACAGAAGACAACCCTGACCTTGTGGAAGACGAAGTGCTGGAAAATGAAGGGAGCAGTTTATAACATGCATAGATGTCTGGGAAAGACATGCAGACTTCCAGGATTGGAAAGGGGTCTTAGGAAAGTGGCAGCTTGTTCCTTATATTTCTTATTTGTGTAATTGGCTCACTCTGGAAAATCAGTCCTCCCTCATTTTGAAGAGGAAAACATACGTATTGCATGCTGAGGTTGTAATAAGATATCACATTACTCTGCAGTAGGGCAAATCTCTAAAATATCAAATAGAATATATTTTAGAGCTGAGCTCATCCAAAGTGATTTTCTGAGTGGGGAACTGTGGCATGGCTGGGATCACAGTCAGACAAGCTAGTGGCACAGCAGAGCTAGACTATGCCACCCAGGAATGACTGCTCAGTCACATCCCAGGGCCCCAAAGAAATCTCATCAGTCTGGGTTTTGTGCTAAGAATTATACAGCTACCAAAAGAAAAGAAATTTTTCTAAGTAACATTTTGTTTTTGTTTTTGCATTTTAAAAATAAAGAACCTACAGCCTAGGACAAGTCTCCTACCTAGGCCTGCTGCCCCTGTGTTTCCTGGCTGACCTTTTCTGGCTAATTAGTCCATGAGATGTTATCTCACCAGCTGTATTTGGGAAGTAATGGGGTACATTCTTGTTTTGCACTGAATTCCAGAAACTAACATTCATTGGCCAAGGGAAGTACAGAGTTCGTAGTATTTCTCATTTGATCATTGCACCCTTTTATTAGGAGGCATGGTACCCAGGAATGCTACCTTGAGAAACACAGATTTGAACCAACTGTCTTCCAAAGCTGGACATATTTCCTCTGCTTCTTTAGCGTTGGAAATTAAAACTGAGTAGGAAACACATGAGTTGATTATGAGGAAATAGAAAGGAGGGGGAACTCGAGGGTCAGCTTAATTACTTGGCCACTTTAGTGGCTGGGGACATCTGAGGAAGTAACTCCACTCTACCTAGAGTGACCACATATTCCTACATGTTCTTCCTTATAACTGATGTCTTCTCCCTATACTTCTCTGACCCTTTCATGCATGAAAATCAGCAGGCTGCAGCCAGATGGTGCTAATGCCTTAGGAGCATGAAGGGGCACCTCTAGAAGCCATAGAGCGAGCAGGCACACCAGGGGAGTAAGGAAACTGTGAGCAAGACCTGAGCGCTGTCCTGCCTGCTGCCTTGAGGGGAGCTCACCCTGTGCCCTGGGTTGCATTCTTAAGGCTCATAAGAAGCCAGCAAGGCTTCCTGGTTGCTGCCATAGAAAAACATTTGGGGAAATGCTGTGAATGTATCGTTGGCCAAGGAGAGGTAGCTAATGGTGCTTGACTGTTTTGTGGGTGACACTAATGGATTTACTGATTAAAAAGCATTGTAATTTGTTCTTTCTCTTTGTCTTCTCCTTTTTCACATGTATACACAAAAGCAATGCTCGTGACTGGTCCAGAAAACTTACTCAAAGGATAAAATCAAATACCAGCAAGAAACGGAAAGTATCTCTGCTCTTTGACCATCTAGAACCAGAAGAGCTATCTGAGCATCTCACCTACCTGGAGTTCAAGTCCTTTCGAAGGATATCTGTACGTACTCAAAGGGCTGGAGAAAACCTACTCTGGGAAATCTCTGACAAGATGTAGGGAAATGTAACAGCTTGTCTGTTGCTAGACACGGGAGGCCCATCAGTGCTGGCTTGTTTTCTGAGCAGACACCATGGTAGGAACATGGGTACCATGTGAATTCCTTTGGTTGCCCCTGCTGGGCTTCCCTTCTGTCACCTAACCCATGGCTACTCTGCTTCACCCCTCACTCAGGTTACAGCATGGGGACACCCATGACACCTTGCATACGTGCATGTGTGAGTGCATACCCATCCTTTATTCCTGATAATCATTAGCCTTCCAGGAAAAATAAACGTTCATCCCCGCAACAAAACAGAGATATGTCCCCTAAGAGTTTGAATTTATTCTCCAGTAGGCTTTTAATAGCTCTGGAAAATCCCACAGTAATACAGCTGATAGGGGTTACCCTAGAACATACCTTAAGCTTCAAAGTGCTGAGCTGCCCAGCAGTTCCCACACTCCTAGACAGAAACTGTGCTGTTCTGGCAGCTGTTGGGGCAGCTAAGCAGAGCATGGTCTAGAGTGGGGAGGGATGAAAGAGGGATTGTGATTTATCACAAAGAATGAGCGAGCACACAAGTGCATCCTGGCCTTACTGTAATCCTCCAGGCTCCATAACTGATGCAGAAAACAGTGGCATCAGATGCAATGGAATCCTCACTGGCCAGTATGCTGCCCTGACAGTGACACCCTCATGCTTTGCAGGCCCCTTGCTACACACAGGCAGTCTTTAGCTTTGCTCTAAAATACAGACAGTGGGGCCAGGGAGATAGCACATAGAATAAGTGCTTGTCTGAGGGCCTGAGTTCAATCCCTGGTTCTGCCAAAAAAATATGAATAGTAAAATAAAATACAGACAGCAACTTGCTGGATGCCTTCCTGGAAATGACTGAAGTACCCAGGCAAGGGGAAGGGAGTCCAGAGGGCCAATGAGAGCAAGGGCAGCAAGCTTCGAGAACCCAAGCCAGGGCCAGGACCTTGTGCCTCTCGGTGCCAATTTATTGAACTTGCTTGTGTCTGGAAGGAGACCTGAAAACTAGATTGCAGAAGTCACTTCCTGCTTTTCTCTCCTAATGTCATACCTCCTGTGTTCACATGGCTGCTTGTCCAGCTGCCACAAACTCCCAGGTTGGGGGGCTGGGGAGATAGCTCAGGAGAATAAGTGCTTCCCTGGCAAGTGCAAGGGCCTGAGTTCAATCCCTGGTTCTGCAAAAAAAAACAAAACAAAACAAAAAAAACCTCTTCCTCCACACAGACTGTGGGCAGCATAGAAGTCTTTGGCTGCAATGACATCCAGTCTCTTAAAAAAAAAACAGGTTGCACTTGGAAATGAATCTCCAGGCATTGGCCCTCAACCCCAGCCTTCACCAGAACCCCTCCTGCAGAAGCCCAGGACCCACCCAGGCTCCAATGGGGAGTTTCCTTTGGGCAGCCTCCCCTGGCACAGAGAGCAGGACACCAGTGAAACCTGAAAGCCACTGCAAGGGACACTTATCACACTGCAAATCTGAGCTCTGCTGGGGAGAGGCTGGCAGGGCCAAAGCCTGCAGGATGTTTGTTTGATGCCAGTCTTCAGATCAGTGGAGACAGAAATGAAAAATCCGCACCAAGCAAGGGATCCGAGCCAATCTCTGCAGGGGCTGAGCAGTGTTCTACTTGCAGATAAAAAAGTCTGAACCTTCATCTTCAGAGTGGCACAGTCCCTTCATAGGAGATATTTCTGGGACTTTCTGGTTTTCCCATATAGGTCTAAACATTTTTTTCTTTTTTTTTTTTTTTTTAATTTTTATTTATTTATGTGTGTGTGTGTGTGGCCAGCTCAGCCCACCAGGGGGCGGGGCTGGCTGGCATGTGGTGCTGGGGGATTGAACTGCGGTCCCTGTGCTCTGCTAAGCTTGTTCTAAGTAGGTGCTCTAGACCACTGAGCCATCTCACCAGCCTAGTCTAAACATTTTTCCCAATTTTTTCCAACATGAACTTGGGGAGAAATTTATGTCTGCTATGAATTGAAAGGCATTTGATATTTTCTTTTTCTTGTACATTTTCTAAAGGGAATAATTATTTTTTAAAAATAGTGGGTTTATGGGCATATCCATAGTGGGAGAGTTTATAAAATTGTGTGCATTGGAATGAGTCACAGCGCCCATCTCTTAGAACCAGGAAGAATTTTATTTTCTGTGTCTCTTTTAAGGAGTGGTTTTGGTCCTAGCAGATTTTACCACCCATCAGCACTCACAGCACAGTAAAATGGGGCTGCTCACATGCAGCTGCTTTACTCAGGGTGGAGTACTCATCAGCCTACTTACTACCAAGTTGAGGCCAAGGTGTACTGCAGTAACACCCCCTACACACCCACAGTCTTGGTGACTCAAAGCAAAAGATTATTTATTACTTCTACTACATGGTTAACATGGTTCAGAGTGGCTCAGGACCCATGCGATGCGGGCCTCATCTTGTCAGAAATTCCCATATCTGCAGCAGTGGAATGGCAGTGTCACAAACATCCATTTGTTGGCTCTCAAGTGTTTCCCTCCAAAGTCACATCACGACCATACACTTTCTGCTTGGTGGTTATGTCACATGACCACATCTGCTTTCAAAAGAAGCATTCAGACTGTGAACAGTACCAAAGGCTCCCACAGGAACATGAGGAGACAAGTTTCTTCCTCCCTCCTGACTATACTGTTTATGCAGAGGAATCCTGTGATAAGGACATGATACCCACACTCATCACCTAGACCAGACTTGCCAGGACATTTGTAGTTTTATGTGTGCTGTTTCATTGTTAGCCATGGTGAGTGCCACTGTCAGACTGGCAAACTGTGGCCACTGACGGTATAGATAACCAAGTTTCTTGTGCCCCTCTTACTTGGTCTTTGTTCAACTTCATGAGTAAGAAAGAAATTCAAGAGGCTTGTTTGAGCATGAGGAAATAATCACTCCATTAGGACCACCTCACAATTATGCAGCACTTTGAAAAGTTAAAAGTGCTTTCACACATTAACTTGCTTGATCTTTATAACAATTCCATGTTCTAAATGGGCAGATTTTATTATCACATATTTAAGACAACAGCTGGGGAGAAAATGATTTGTTTTCATGAGGAATTACTTTTTTAATTTGAGCAGCAAAGCTGGAACCAGTAATGAGATTTTTCTCCTTTGCTGTTCTTTAGAATTTAGTAGGGATAGAAACAGTATCTGTTCAAATATAATATTTGGATTAGTGTATGTATATATGGTGTATCTATACCTAATGGGTTTTGATGTAGTAGGGCCATGATGTAACTTCCCATTCACCAATCTTGCTGCCATGCAAAGATGCAGAAGAGGCCATAGGCTTGTCTCCCATAGCAGTACCCAGCCATCACCGAGCAGAGCTCACTTACCCCCGATCTCCGGAATACCAGAGCATAGGCCTGATGGTTGTTTTTCTTCCTCCAGTTCTCTGATTATCAAAATTACCTTGTAAATAGCTGTGTGAAGGAGAACCCCACGATGGAGCGATCCATTGCCTTATGCAACGGCATCTCCCAGTGGGTACAACTGATGGTTCTCAGCCGCCCCACCCCGCAGCTCCGGGCAGAAGTCTTCATCAAGTTCATCCACGTGGCTCAGGTGAGTCACAGGACTGACGCTGTCAGCCTTGGCTGTGACATAAATTAGCTGTAGTTCTCTCCAGCCTAATCTTCATTGGGAGCCGTTCTTCCCTTGTGAGTCCTGGTGTGAAGCTGTCCCCAGACCTAGAAAGGTATTTCTGTTTCTTCACTCACTCATTAGAGGAGTATTAGAACTACAGATGTTTAAGTCCAATCCCAGACCCAAGGTTAAGCAGTCTTTGTGAACAGGTGCTCATGGTGGATGCTGGAAACTACTAACTTAAGATGGTGGTTCATAGATTAGCTACAAGAAATGGGGACATGTAATGCCTTGCTAATTTGAATCTGAAAACCAGGAATTCAGTGAAAAGGAGAAATGAAGAGAAAATTGCCACTTGTAATCGCTAAGTGACCAGTATAAGGAAGAGTCACAGCTCAGGCTAAAGCCTCTTAGTTCCCTGTGTAACTGACACATGCAGTCACTCTGTTGTCATTTCCCTTCTCTCACAGAAGCTTCACCAACTGCAGAATTTCAATACGTTGATGGCTGTGATAGGTGGTCTGTGTCACAGCTCAATCTCCAGACTCAAGGAAACAAGTTCGCATGTCCCACATGAAATCAACAAGGTCGGTGCCACTGTCTTCTTGGGGCCCTTGTGCACACTCCCAGGGAAACACCGTTTTCTTCTTGAGAGACAGCTCAGACAACATTTCCAAACCACACCACACCTAGTTACCAGGCAGAGGACAAGGAGCCATACCCAGAGGGAACCCACAGGATGGGGAAGTTACAGATTGGAGTGTCTGTGGTCCCATCTGGCCTCAGATAATATCACCACATCTTTTTCTCTTGGGCCAGCTAAAGCGTGGGTCTCTTTCCCGTAGAGGCCACTGAGTATTTATTCACCGTCTTTATTGCTAACCACATTCCCCAGTTCCTCGCTGCAGTATTTTGCATGTGGAGTGTAGTTATATAGTAATACTTAAAAACCTAGCTAACCAGACTTGGAAAGTGATTTCCTGCTTACTTAGATATTCTGAGTTAAAGACGAGCTCTTCAAATACCATTTTGTAAAAGAAAATGTTTTATTTAGGACTTTTCTTAAGGGAGGGTCCTGTGCACATTTCTCTATTATTTAGATGTTAAAGAACATGCCTTTCATCTTTTATGACATTGGGCTGTTGCTACAAACTATGATGCTCTGCTGTAGACTTGAAGGCATCCAGGTGCAGCATGGGTTTTCTACGACAGCTCTTTGCGTATTTTCATTTCATGCAGTAGGACCTTTTTGTCCTCAAACTCAGGTCTGAAGCTGTCATAGAAAATAGCTCTCCCTCCAAGAGAGGGATATCTTTGGCTGAACTGCTCTATCCACTTATCCCAGCTATGTAGTGGCCTTTTGGGAAGTACTTGTTAACTCTATCACAGTGCAGGCCTGTGGGGAGCTCTCCTCAATGAGAGGTCAAAAGGTAATCCTGTTACCTTTTCCTTTCCTAATGGTTCTGCAGAGACCACATAGAACTGTAAAAATTCACCATGTGTCAGAGGCAAGAGGGAAAGAGAGCCATGGAGACTAGCATGTCCCATGTCATTTAGCTTATAAATTAGAGCTTGCGTCTCTTCAGCTTGAGTTTCCCTATAGCAGTGCTTGTGGTCTGCAGTTGCTTGGCCCTCAAGGTGGCCTTCAGAGTGAATTAGTAAATTAAGGGTTGAAGCATGTGCCCCTAATAGTTGAGTTCACCTTCTGTTGAAACAGAAATGTCACCTTTGCAGCTGAGCCCTTGAGTTAACCGCACACCCCCCTCATGTGCAGTTTTGCCAGAGGTGTGAGGAGGCGGCTCTCTTGTTACCTCAGAGAGATTAAGGGGGCCTGGCTCTAAATCTGAAGTTCTTTGTGGGGAACTGGTACTTTGAAAGCCAGTTTTATTAAAAGAATTTGGGCAGTGTCTGAAATGGTTATTTTGTGGAGACTGCCAGTCTCTCTTCATGCCTTCCCTTCAGAGAAAACTGGTCATAAGGAATGGCTAACAGGACTCCGTGAGGTGTCTGAAAAGAAGGAGCTGGCTGCTCCTTCTCTGCAGTGTTGAGCGGCATTACACATTCCCAGGTTTGAGGGAGGGCGTGAGCACTAATGAAGGGATCGCAGGGCCTCTGCCTCGTCCTCACCCAAGCCCTTTGCTGGAACTGGACTAAACCCTCCTTGGTCCGGGGTTTCAGTCTGTGAATGCAAAGTCACTGCTTCCCAGACACAGGCTACATGGCAGAAGGGCCTCATAAGAGTAGTGACACAGCTGAGTACCGCATCTCCTCACTCAATACACGTGCTGTTTCCATGCCTGGGACAAAGGCAGCACTTGTGACATCCCATCCTGTCTCCAGAGACATTCAGAAGATCCTGGGGGGAGGAATCCTCTAGCTGGGGGTTAGAAGGACATTTAATGTTCATGTTAAATTTTTAAATTATCTTTTAAATTTTTATGGCACTTGGCTTGTGTCTGAATGTTTCCCCCATTTAAAATTTTTGTGCCATTTCTAATGCCTTTTTTTTTTTTAATTTGGAACATTTGAAACTTTAAAGTTTTAATGTAGAAGTCGTAACTTCTTTTAGATGAATCGCCCCATAGGTTGGGGCTGTTGTGAAATTGTGCTAGGGGATGACAGTAAGCCTGGTGGCATCACAGGCAACGCATACTGCCCAGGAGCGACTTGTAATCGATGTGTTGTTCTCTGTAGGTTCTCGGCGAGATGACTGAGCTGCTCTCCTCCTGCAGAAACTATGATAATTACCGTCGAGCCTATGGAGAATGCACACACTTCAAGATCCCCATACTGGGCGTGCACCTCAAGGACCTCATTTCCCTGTATGAAGCCATGCCCGACTACCTGGATGATGGGAAGGTCAATGTGCACAAGCTGCTGGCCCTGTACAATCACATCAATGAGCTGGTCCAGCTGCAGGAGGTGGCCCCACCACTGGAGGCCAACAAGGACTTGGTGCACCTGCTGACGGTAAGGGTCACCTAGAGAGCTACAGAGCACCTTCTGCGTGCTGAGTGCTGTGCTATCCACGTTACCAAATGTTCACAGCTTTTCTCCTCATAAAGATTTTGTAAAGTAAAACTACTATCATTTCCACTCTGGATAGGATACTGAGGCAGAGAGATATAACTCGTCAGACAACCACATATTAAGTGAGAGAGCTTTGGCTCAGACCAGGTGGGAAGACTTCAGAGTACTCTCTTAAGCACTGTACCCTTCAGACTTTGAGGGGTGTGTCTACTCCACCACAAGCAGTAGCAGTCTCTCCAGGAGGAGCTGACAGTAAATCAGGATATAAGGATTGGTACCAGGTGGACAGTGTGCTCTTAAAGGCAATGAGAACAAAACAACACAATAGACTTATTGGGTCCTGTTATAACTGGCTTAAAGAGATATTCAGGCTAGGAGTAGCAGAGCACTTTTCAGAAGTATAGAAACGATTTACACTTCGGGTATGGGGCAGAGCTGGGACTCTGGTTCACCAGCATGTCCCTGTGGGCCCACACATTCCACATCTGTGTCATCTACTGTACCCTCAGAGGGGTTACTCCCTGCATAATGTCTCACTTCTTTTAGTTCTAAAATTAACCTGTTCCTTTTAGGGGAAAATGGAATAATGCCTGTATCTTCTGCCTCACAGGAGCATTTTGATAAAAGTACCATGCTTCATGTCTGGCCGGTGCCTAATCTTGCTGCTCTAGCCCTGTCACTTCAGCCAGGTGACTTTGGCGGATCTCTGCCTAAGACATTATCAGCTCTATGCAGAGGCTCATATTGTCATGGAAATTAAATCAGTTTGTTTTTCAGTACCAGGGATTGAACTCTGGACCTTGTGCTTGCCAGGCAGGTGCATATGCCGCTGAGCTACATCCCCTGCCCATTAAATCAGTTTTAGAAAGGGCACCTTGGGACTTTTCCACAGTATACAGTTTAACAAAAACAACTAAACCTTTCCTTGTTGCAGTTGTTACACTGGCTAAGCTGAATCAGAAATATAAACTGCTAAACCCCAAGATTAAACTAATGATGAGGAAGCAAGAAATATCAGTCGTAGGAAAAGCAGACAGCATCCTAGCAGTTAACCTTATTCTGCTTTGATCTAGTTATCCCTGGATCTCTACTACACTGAAGATGAAATCTATGAGCTCTCCTATGCCCGGGAACCAAGGAACCACAGAGCCCCAGTGAGTTGCTCATACTGACTCCTGCATGATGTGTGCTGGTCCCCAAGTATGTACATCTTAAAGAACAGACTTAGTTCAGCACATGCCTTACTTCCTCATGTGCTGACCTCGTCCTAGGCACAGCCAGCCCCTTAGCATTGTGACACATGGTTCCTGTCCAAGAAGTGCTAGCTGAAGGGACAACTTGTGAACACTAAGTAACCACATGCCAAAAGAGTGTCAGGGGTGGTAGAATCAAGAAGGGAGACAGTATTGTGAACCAGAATGGCAACTCCTTCCTGTTAAGAATTTTCCCCATTAAAAAAAAAAAAAAAATTCTCCCCATAAAAAGTTTTATGATTTTTGATGCTAAGAGAACAAATATACATACCAATCAAAAACTGAACTCTTGCAGATTTCCACATTGTTCAAAAGAAAAGCCCCATTGTCTTGTAGTGCTCTGGGTTGAAAAGAGCAGCCTGCTTGTTCTTCTGGTCTTCTCAGACACTCCCAGAACAGCACCTGGTCCTGGTTCTGTGATCAACACAAGCCTCCCTGCTGTCTGTCCCTGCCTTTCCAGCAGGCAGGTACAGTCCTCTGAGGCTGCTGGGGATTTTTGCAACCCAAAACAAATGGTGTTCCAGGGAAGTGGAGCTTGCCTGTAAGAAATCCAGCTCATCTGTTCAGATGGCTAAGTTTCATTGCCTCTATTATCAAAAGAGGAAGTTTTAGCTTCCTATTGTAATGAAAGAGGTTCACTGGAAATATTTAGCATGTTAAATTTCCACAGTGCTAGTGGCATTCCAATGAAAAGATGAACCACTCCTGTTTTTAGGACAGATTTTCATTTGGATCAAATTTCAAACCTTTAAAAATGGATTCTAGCTCAGTTTGTGCAGCTTCCAATTTTTTTTCTTGTATATCTTTGCCTTTCGACCAGTTTTTTCTTCAGTTACCTCTACTGAAAGGTAACCAAAGGCCAGGTATTGTGGCCCATTCCTATAATTCCAGCACTGAGGCTGAGGCAAGAGGATCATCACAAGTTTGAGCACAGCTTGAGCTACATAATGAGCTCAACGGCAGCCTAAACTACATAGCAAGGCACTATTTCAAAAATAAAAAATGACTACAAAACACAGAAGACATTTCATTTAAACAGACCACAACACCCTGTAGAAAGCTCTGACAAGAGTTTTAATGGAGAGGGTAACTTGAAGCTCTGGTGCACTGAGGATTTTAAATTATCTGGAGCTGAAGATAACATATGTGAAGATTTTGGAAACAAGAGCAGGACACTCGTTAGCTAGTGTTATAGGCTGGATTTCCACTACGTGTGTGCTGCCTGCTTCCTCACTGCACAGTTGAAGTGACTGCTGATGGGGCTGTTGGGCTCTGAGAACGGACAGCACCATCAGAGACAATACTGCATCACAGCCAGGGTTTCTCTTTATATTTCATTTTAGCCACTGACACCTTCTAAGCCACCAGTAGTAGTAGACTGGGCCTCTGGAGTTTCACCCAAGCCTGACCCGAAGACCATCAGCAAACATGTGCAGAGGATGGTGGACGTGAGTACAGCTGTTTCAGCACACAAAGGGTGGGCACTGCGGGCTTGGCATGGGGAGCCCAGGGAGCACCGCGGTGAAATGCATGTGGAAAGTCAGGACACGCTCCCAGAGGAGCCACTTCTTGTACTGTGACTTCAGGAGGCTATGGTTTGGCAAAACTTTTTGGTCTCATATGGGGAGGATTTTACAACTTTTAAAGACCTAGCAGATCATTTGTTTAAAAGTTGAGTGGAGGCAGAAAGATACTTGGAAGTTTGAGTCTAGTATGGGTAAAAATATAAAGCTGAACATTATGGCCCTGCTGGGCTCTGCTCCCCAGGCTACCTCAGAGAGGAGTGTACACATTTGTATGCTTTAAGCCTTTGTCATTGTGGGGCAGTCCCAAGTGGGTGGCAACAGAAGACTGAGTAGAAATGGGGAGCAGAGGAACACAGGCCTTTCACAGGGCTCCTTGAGGAGGTGCAGTCTGAGCAGGGGGCAGAAGGGCAAGAGCCTCCCTCCCTCTCTGCAGGGGTGTAGAGGTAGGCAAGGCCTGGGAAGGCACAGCAGGCGCTAACAGCTGAAGGCACAGGCGCCTGAGGTGACCTGCCACATCTGTGCAACAGCTTATGGAACACATTTCTGTGTTCCCCTTATTCAGGCTTTAAGAGGCTTTTATTTTACCTATCTGCCCCAGCACCTTTGTTGTTTAGCAGAAGAAAGGACTGGTTTGTCCTTCGTAACCACCAAAATAAAACTTCTTTTTCACAGTCTGTCTTTAAAAACTATGATCATGACCAGGATGGATACATTTCTCAGGAAGAATTTGAAAAGATTGCTGCAAGTTTCCCGTTTTCCTTCTGTGTGATGGACAAAGACAGGTGAGGCTGAGTGGCTTAGCCCATGGGGAGAGCAGGTCTACAGATGTATCGCTGGACTTGTAAGTACATGTGTGTTTACAGTTATCAAGTGAAGGCCTCTCTGCCTGTAGTTTGGACCACAAGAGACAGTGACACTTACATGTTTTTTAAATAGCTCACACCTGAAGATCCCGAAAATCTACAAAGTAGGCCAACAGCCAACTACAGCTAAGTTTAGTTTTCTTTCTTGCTTTGACCTTATGGATTATGGAAGCAATATTAATGCCTTCTGTGCTTACTATCCTTAAAGTTATATGTAATTATCAGAAACCAAATGTATGGCTACTGAAACCTGTTATGTACTTTCTATAGTTAGAAACTGTGGCACAGGTTTTTCCTGCCCTATACATAAATCTGACATCATCTCAGGTCTTGTAGTTAGTGGTCAGGTTAGTTAGGAAAACCTAGTTTGGCCAAAGAACACCTGGGGCTGAGCAGTGCTGCCTCACCCCTTTCCCACACGGTTCTATCACCTACCTGTGAGGACGCTCATCTGCTACCCTCGCTCACTCACATCCTCGCCTGTCATCTGTTAGCAGGGAAGGCCTCATCAGCAGGGACGAGATCACAGCCTACTTCATGAGGGCCAGCTCCATCTACTCCAAGCTGGGCCTGGGATTTCCTCACAACTTCCAGGAGACCACCTACCTGAAGCCTACTTTCTGTGACAACTGTGCTGGATTTGTAAGTTGTCCTTGGAGTGCATCAGGGTAGAACTACAGGTCGGTAATAAGGGCACAGACCTCACAATCCCAGATGAGCCCAAGCAAATGCCTAGAAGGACCTAGTCCTCAAGCAGGTGGATTTCACTTCCACTCATTTTGCCTTATATATTACTGACTTTTTTTCATCCGTGGCATATTAGGGCTTGTATAAACAGTACAGAAATGTTTAATTCTGGATATACTATTTCAAATATTAGAAAATAATTGAGATGCCCTCCTTTCTCTTCTCAAAAGACACTGTCGTAAAGCAGTCACCTCAGCTTTGCCCCTTCTGTCTCACCACAAGCAAGAGTTTTTCTAAGCACAGGTTCCTGACCAAAGACTGTATGCTTGTCTGTCTGCGTGGAGTCCTCGGGAATCCGTTACTTGTACAATTCATCCATTTCAGGCTGATAGATGACCTAGTCATAAAGTCCCTCCAGTGAGCTTTTGGAGAACATCTGACTCAGGTGGCCAGGAATGTTTCCTGTTTTTAGTTAAAGGTCAGGACGAGACATACCAGGGATAAATGAGCTAGAGAACGGAACAAGGGAAAATAAATCAGGAATGTCAGCTTGAAGCCTCACCAGATAATGACATGTGTTGCATTCTGTCTCATTTGTCTCACAGCTCTGGGGAGTGATCAAACAAGGATATCGATGTAAAGGTAAGGTAGCACCGTTGACTGCATTGTTTTCCCTGGCTGCGAGGCTAGTTTTTACCCACTATAGTTGTCCATTCAGTCCACAATTTCATGACAGATTTCAGAGCCTCATTTCCACTTTGCAAGAGCACCCAAGCGTGAATGACACCACACAGGAGAGTGGGGTGCCTGGGTAGCCAGGTTGGCAATTTCCCTTTACAAGATCTTTTCTCTGCTTTGGTTGAGTTGGAAATAAAGATGGCTTGTTGGAGATTGAGCTCCTGTTTAGTAACAAAAGTAAAAAGGACCTAATCATTTCTGAAACAGAAGATAAATGATTACTAAAGATCTTTGTCAGCTTTCCTTTTATCAGTGATTCCTCCAAACATAAGTGCCCTTCCTTGTGAGTAGGACAACTAAGGAGGAAGGAAAGGAGACCTAGAAAGAAAAAGAAAGAAAAAGTAAAACCTAGCAGCCGGGCACTTCCAGAGGCTAGCCCTAGAGAGAACAGGCAAACAGGAGGACCAGGACACCATCTCTTCCCTTCAGGATAGCAGATGCGCCTTCAGATTATGAGACTATGATAATGGTTAAGACCAGCCAGAGAAAGAGAGGAGTTTCCCTAGTGAGGACAGTGCTACGTTCATTAGGAATCTTGGGTAAGGTTAAATGTAGAAGAGAACATGGGCATGTCTGGCGAGAGCACTTCATGAATTGGTAGTAAGACCTGAAGAAGAGAGGTGAGACTTCCTGACCAAAGTATTTTGTCCACAGACTGTGGGATGAACTGCCACAAACAGTGCAAAGATTTGGTGGTGTTTGAGTGCAAGAAACGGACCAAAAACCCAGCAGCTCCAATGGAGAACACTTCCTTGACACCAACATCCAACCTTTGCTCACTAGGAGGGAAAGATCTGCTCTATGGTAAGGAGACCTGGGAATGTTCATCTTGGGAAGTACAGAGAAAAAGGCAAAATTCAGGGGAAGGAAAGATAACCACATGTGTCCATATCTGAGTTCACCCTGTACTCTATTCCTGACCCCTCCTACATACAGATTTCAGCTATCTGTGCCTCAGGCCTAAAGGTGTTAGAATAACAAGAAGGCAAGTTATGCCTAAAGATCAGCAGACATTCATTAAGCACCTACACCAAGTACAGATACTGACTTCTGCCGAATTGTGCCAGTCATCCTACTCCATCCCCAACTCAAACCAAGGATAGGGAGATATGTATGTGCTTTTGTATATGATGTGCATACATGTAACATATATAACATATGGAATATACACAGTATATTAAAAGACATAGCTGTATTCAGAACCAAAGAATAACATCTCCATAGATCAGAACTGTACCAGAAACTTTTAAGGGAGTAGAAGCTGAATCCACAGGTCCTCATGATTCCATTGCCAGAAACATGCACCTGGGCATCTGATTTCTGTATAGTAGTAACAGAGATCAACTATGCATGAAAGCTGACCAAACCAAACACTGCTTACATCCTTTGATGAAGGATCCTAGAAAGTCATTTCTGCCACACCTAGCAGCAAGAAGCATAGTCACTGGATCAGTGGCTACCTGTGATGTAACTAATTTTCTTCCAGGAGAGAAGTCTGAACCCATTAGTTTAAACCAAATTCTAGACTGAGAATTCTGAGAGGCCACATGGAGACAACTGTCAACATTCTAGAAACACAATAGTAAATGCATAAAGGTAGAGGAGGAGAACACCTATGCAGTACAAGCTTGAAGATTAAAGTTTCAAATCCTGTAAAATTTAGTCCTGTAAGAAAACTCCTAGGAGGGTCGGGGAGATGGCTCAGTAGAATAAGCACTTTCCTGGCAAGCGTAAGGGCCTGAGTTCAATCCCTGGTTCCGCCCAAAAAAAAAAAAAGAAAAGAAAACTCCTAGGACTAAACTGAAAAAAGTTAATAGTCAAAAGATAAACCGGGGATCTAGGAGATAGCTCTGCAGCATAAGCACCCGCATGACAAGCTCAAGGGCCCGGTTTGATCCCTGGTACCACATGCTGTGCAGGCCCTAGAACTGGGCATGGTGGCACATGCCTGTAATCCTAGCATTGAGGAGGCTGAGATAGGAGGATCACTATGAGTCCAAGCTGTGTAGTGAGACCCTGTACTACCAAATACATTTAAAGAAAGAAAAAAAATTTGGCTGGCCATGGTGGTACAGGCATATAATCTCAATGCTCAGCAGGCTGAGGCAGGAGGATCATGAGTTAAAGGGCAGATACACACACACAAATAACATATATATGTACAAATAACAGCAAGTATAATAAGTGACTGTAAGTATTATTTAGACCTGCAGGAAGAAAGGATTATGTCTGTCTTGTTAGGGGGAAAGATAACCAACAGGGAGAAAGTCAGAAACAGTGCAAGAGGGTGTGTTATAAGCCAAACAGTCTAGACACACAAATGACAGGAATACAGAACAGAGACCGCACCCTAAGCCTTTTGGTAAAGACTTCATGGAGAAGGTTGGAAGTTTAGCAAAGTCATGAAGGTATGGAAATACTAAGTCATGAATGCTTCTTGGGCATTCTGCTGAAGAAGAGAAGTACTCTGCCTAGCATTCTACCCCAGGGCGCACAGAGCAAGGGAGACTCAGAGGAACTTCGCCCAACTCCAATGGGACGCATCCCCACTAACTCCCTGCAGTAACTACAGATAAGAACCAGAGAGATCCCCAGCTGTCACCCTGGCCCTTCTCCTATCCCTGGGAGTGCACAGCCAAGGGAAGCCATGAGACAAATTTTGCCCAGCTCGACACAAGCCATCTTCTTCTTTCCTGTGGACACTACAGCTGAAAAAAAAAGTGCGTCTTTCTGACTTGGACGCCTTATACATTGTGCCTAAACTCTGTCACAGCCAGAGAAGCATTGAGGAAACTATGCTGTATTTCCCAGCTAAAAATAAGCTAACATTGTGTAACAAACCAATAACCCAAGGCACTACACTTTCATGAGATGAGCAATTCTCAATTTATGAACATAAGAAATATGAAAAGGTAATAGAAAATGTTAAGGTTTCTTGAAAGTAAGCATTAATATTATTTGTCCAATCTTGGATTACTGTTTCTGTTAATCTGAGCAACAGATCTGATGATTAAAAATAGATAATATAACAACCATTGTTATTAGCTATTCCTGTTTTGAAAATCTAACATATGTACTGCTATGTTTTCCTATTTCTGTCTTTGTTCCTGCTTTGTTTTTACTCTTCAAAATAAAATTTTAAAAAAGGTAATACAATACTTCCAAAAGATTATAACTCTCTAGTTATAGGTAGCAAAGATACTAAAATGGATGAAATACCTGGTAAAAGAATTGAAAATAATTTTTTAAAAGTCAGTGAGATCAAGAGAATACAAAAAAAAAAAAAACCATTAAATGAATTAGGAAGACAGTGCAAGATGTAAATGAAAAATTCAGCAAAGAGGCAGATATTTTGAAAAAAGAGCCAAACTGCAGTCTAGGAAATGAAAAGCTCAGTAATTCAATTAAAAACTCAGTTGAAAAACCTCAACAATGGACTACATGAAACAGAATAAAGAATATGGAAACTTGAAGACAAGTCTTTTGAAATGACACATTCATACAAAAAAAAAAAAAAAGCAATTACAATATTCAGTATCTTTGGATCTCCATTAAGTAATTAATTACCTACATCACTGGAATACCTGAACATGAGGAAATAAAGGTTAAGCAAAGGGTACATAATGATATGACACTAGAACACTTTCTGAACCTTGTAAAAGACATGGATATCCATGTAAGGGAGCCTTTTACAGTTCCAGATGTCCATGACTAGAAGAGAACATCCTTCCTGATACAGTACAGCCAAACTGAAAAGTACAGGACAAAAAAAAAAAAAAGTTTTAATTTGCAAGAAAAAAGCACCAAGTCACATTTAAGGGCAACCCCACTAGACCAAAAGATGATTTCTCCACAGAAACCTTGTGGGCCAGGAGGAAATCAAATAATATATTCTAAGTCTTAAAAAGAAATGCCTAAATGCCAACTAAGATTACTATTACCTACAAAGGCTGTCCTTCACAGATGGAGAAAAAAATTTCCAAGGTAAGAAAAAACTCTGGGAATTCAAGACCAACAGACCATCCTTACAAAAGATGTTTTAGGAAGTGCTATATCCAGAAGTGAAGAGAAGTAACTACCTCATGACAGCATGTGAAAATACAAGCCCACTAGAAGAGCTGATACACAGAAGTGAAACAGAGAAGAACCAAACATCATCAGTACTGTAAACCACCAGATCACAAAGATGATTAAATGAATGAAGAAAAGACCAAAGAATGTTCAAAAATTGACAGGCATTAAACCTATATCTTCAGTGATAACCTTGAGTGTAACATAATGCAGATGAGTGCATTAAAAAACAACACCCAACAGTATGCTGCCTACACAAAACTCACTTTACAGACACACACAGACTAAAAGGATAGAAAATGATATTCTAAGCAAAAGGAATCCTAAAGTGAGCAAGAGTAGCTATTCTTTAATTCTAAAGAGAATAAAACAATAAAAACATACAGAATTTTGAAACAAAATGAAGAAATTAATAATGGTCATACTGCATATGATTCTCAAAGTAGTTGTTCAGATATAGAAATATAAAACTGGTCAACAATTAGACAACAGCTGTTTCTTCCAATAAACCAATAGAAATTAGTAGTATAATTATCTTACCTATCTTATGTGCATATATATATATTTTTTTCTTTTCCCTTCCCTTCTTTTCTCCTTTCCCCCATCCCAGTTGTTGTTCTTTCCTTTTAAGCAGTTTCTTTCTCTTTCACAGTATCTATTGTATCTTTTGGATTTTAATTTACTCTTTCAATTTCTTACACTAGGGAGACAATATAATGTCTGTTCTTACTACTGACAAAATAAGACTTCAAAACAAACTGGAAGAAGCTCATTATATACTGATCAAGAGATCAATTCATCATAAGACATGATTGTAAATCTATTAGCACTAATATCAGAATTTCAATTTTATAAAACAGTCATATGTAAGGCAAGAGATAGGTTCTAATACAATAATCATGAGGAATTTCAATACCGTACCCTCATTAATAGATCATTTGAACCCCCACCAAAAAAACCCACCATGATTAAACTGTGCTATAGATCCAGTGGGCTTAATAAACATGTACAGAACATTCTATCCACTAGTTGTAGATAATAAACATTCTTTTCACCAGCATGTGGAACTTTCTGTAGAACAGACCAAATTTTAGTCCACAAAACAAAAAGTGAGCCATTTCCTCTGTCTTTTCTGATCACAATGAGACTCTACAAATCACTCACAAGAAAAACAAAAAAAATTCAAGTATTTGGAGTCTGAACTTACTTTTGAACATGAATCACTGAAGAAGTCCAAAGAATTTAAAATTTCTTGAGTGAAAATACAAAATGCCAAAGCCTGTGGGATGCAGCAAAAGTAGCAGTAAGAGGAAAGTTTATAGCAATGAGTATCTATATCAAAAAAATACTTGCACTGGTGAATTTTATTAAGCTTTTAAAGAAAGAGAACACAGACGCTTCCAAAGTATTTCATGAAATCAAAACTCATTTTACCAGGCCACTCTTTAAACTGGTTACCACAGTCTGAAAAGGACTTAACGAAAGATGAACGTAGATGTAAACTCCACAAAATGCCAGCAGACTAAATCCTAGGGCACGTCAAAGATTCTGCACTGTGACCAAATTAGTTTCATTCCTGGGATGCAAGGATGGTTAAACACATGATGAACAAAAATGTGATGATCCCAGCAGATACAGAAAAGTCATTTGGTAGATTTTAATATCCCTACATGAAAAATTCCTGGACAAATTAGATATACAAGGGCCAAACCTCAACCTAATAAAAATTTTATGACAGAATACAGCCAGCTTTATATTGAAGGAAAAATTGACAGCATTTTCTCTAAGATCAGGAAGACAAGGTATCCTCTCTCACTGTTCTTATACAGTACAGTACTGTAAGTTGTAGCCAGAGCAATGACACAAGAGTTAGGAATAAAAGGCACTCAAATGAAAGAAGAAATCAAATTATCTGTTTACAGATGACAATATTCTATACATAGAATCACCTAAAGATTCAGCTAACACTATTTGAACTGATGAATTACTCAGTAAAATGGAAGAATATAAAACCAGTGGCTCTTCTGTACACCAGTAATAAAATTGCTAGACAGACATCATGGTAACAGTCCCATGCACAATAGAGATACACATATACACACCTAGGGATAAATATAGCTAAGTGAAAGGCCTCTACAGTGAACATTACAAAATGCTGATAAAGACACTAAAGAACAGGAGGATCCCTCATGTACATGGATTGAAAGAATTCAAATATCCAGAGTGCTACCACAGTGATCTAAGATTTAGTGCAGTCTTCATCAAATGCCAGTGACATTCTTCATAAAAGTAGGGGGGGAAAAGTGAAAATTCATACAGATTCACAAAATGCTTCAAAAAGCCAAAGAAATTTTAGGTAAGAAGAGCACATCTGGAAGAATCACAGTATTGATTTCAAGATGTGCAATGAGCCATAGTCACCAGAATACCATGGCACTAGCATAAAAAGACGCAGACCAATGGAACAGAAGAAAAATCCAGAAATTAACCCATATAGCTACAGCCATCTGATTCTAAAAATATATATACTGGGAAAGGACGACATCTTCAAAAAACAGTGAAGAGGAACATGAGTAACACTAAATGCAACTCCTCACCTCGAGCAAGAATCAACCCTAAATGAATCAAAGATCGTAAGGTAAAGCCTAAAACTCTAAATTATTAAAAATAGGGGGAACTTTTCAAGAGCTTGTTACAAGCAATAATTTTTGAATAGGACTTAGCGTAGATAATGAAAACATAAGTACCAGCTGGGGTTAATGTGCAAAAAGCTGCTGCACGGCAAGATTCGACACAGAAGCTAATGTTATACAGTAGAGAAAATGTTTACTGTCAGCTGACAGGATTAATATCTAGCATACATACAGAACTCAGAAACTTAACACAAACAAGCACCAGGTATTGTGGTACATACACACCAATCATTCCAACACTCAGGGCAGTGGAGCAGGTGGGCTGTAAATTCACACCCAGGCTGGGCGACTTAGGCCACATCTGAATATTCAAAACTCATTAAAAGGCTGCGTTGTAGCACAGTGAAATGGTCCAGGGAAATCATGAAGGGGGTAGGATGGACAAAAACTACTGTAATCCCAATGTAAAAACAGGCAAACACCCCAATGTAAATATGGGCAAATGATCTAAAGCACTTCTCACAAGAATCAGTCAATAAATACATGAAAACATGCTTCATATCTTGGCCATCAGAAGATTGCAAACCTAAAGTACAAAGCAGTGGTGCTATAAAAGAAAAATAACAACTGCTCACTAGAAGGATATAGAGGAAAAGCAATCATAACTATTGGTAGGACTGTAAATTAGTATAGCCACTTTGGAAAATGGCATGGGGTTCCTCTAAAAATAAAACTACCAAATGACCCAATTCTCCCGTTCTGGAACATACAGTCCCCCACCCCAAATGAAGCCTGCAAACAGGATACCTGTATAGCCATGTATAGTATGACACTATTCATAAATAGCTAAGATGTGGAATCAGCTTATCTGTCCATCAGTGGATAAAGAAAATATAACATGTATAGACAGTGAAATATTAAGCCAAAAATGAAATCTCATTGTTCATAGTAAGAATAGGTAAAACTGGAAGACTCATGTTAAAATAAGGGACACAAGTATCACATGTTGCCTATCATATGTGGAAATGAACAGTCAACCTGAAAGTATGACAGTGAGTGCTAAACACTGAGAAGGGTGGAGGGCACGATCAGTGCATGCTGTATGTGCTTTCTTTTTTTCTGTATTTTAGTAAGGATCTACAGGGGCTACAGGGTCTCACTACATAAACTGGACTCCTAGTGATCCGCCTCTGTTCAGCCTCCCAAGCACTGGGATTATAGGCCCATGCCACCACACCCAGTTTCAATCACTGTCTCAGCATGCTCCCTGGGTGGGGCCAGTATAACACACTGGGGATTGAACTCTGGCCGCAGAATCTGCCTAAGCAGGCACTTTAATCCGCTGAGCTATTTGGCCAGCTTTCCTATGTATGCATCGAAATGTCACATGAAATTCCAATAATGTATGTGTTTAATATGTTTTAAAGAGTAGAAAAGAGTCAAAAAATAATTACCCATAATGCTCCTCCAAAAAGACAATGTAATTATTTTAGAGTGAATAACAGCTTAAATATTCTAGTACTTAAACAGATTATACTTTTGAGCTTTATTTGGATAAGTACTAAATGATAATTTAAAAATCATTTCTTTGAGAAAAAAAACATCAATGAGGTTCAGTTGTAAGATTTGTAGTGCAGGGCACTGTGTTCATGCTGCCAGGTATACTTCTTTTCCTTCGTTTTCTTGGCCCAAACTTGCTCTGCACACCCTGTTTCTTCTACCTTTAATAAAACTTTCCTATCATTAAAAAAAAAAAAAAAAGGATTTATAGTGTATCATTAACTATGGATTATAGTAATAGATGCTAGTTAGAAATTTGTTTTATTAATCCATTTCAATTAGTTTAATGTCTTAGCTAGAAAATTTTTTTGGTATTTTTTTATATATGTATTAATTTTACTCAGAAGTAGCAATGAGACAATTTCAAAACAGGTTAGTAAGACAGTTACAATAATTAATACATTTTGGGGCTGGGGAGATAGCTCAGTAGAATAAGCGCTTGCCTGGCAAGTGCAGGGTCCTGAGTTCAATCCCCTGTACCACAAAAATAAATAAATAATACATTTTGTATTGTCTTTGTAGTAGTTATTCATAGTACAATAGGAAAAATAAAAATTCTAATACCATTGCATACTTTTAGAAGTACTTTCTCATATATAATCATTTTATTCTCTAAATTCTGAAAGGTATTTTTTATCCTCATTTAATAAATCATGCCATAATCTGCTTATTAATACTGTATAGGTCCTAGTGACTTTTCAGAGAACTGAGAAAGTTTTTGCAAACAGAAAACATAGATGATCTATTAATCTTAAAGCTGACCACCCATCTCAAATACATCTGCTCTCATTCTACTTTTCTAGGAAGTTACTTCTTCAGGCTGGATCCTGGGCAGGAGTATTAGTTTAAGGAACAAAACAGACTGGCTCATCCTTCCTTTCCCCCATCAGTGTCACTCATGGGCAATACATTTTGGAATACACTACCATGAAGCTGAACGCTGTACACATTATATGAACAGGTCCTAGAGTTCCTGCTGTCTACCACAGGGTCCCTGTATCAGGACAGACTTGAGTAGTAAAAGCTTCCAAACCTAATCCACAGAAAGTAACTTATGGGACATTTTCCTCTATATACCGATCCTGCTCTCAGTTGGCGAAAATCTTCAACATTGAGGTGAGAATTACAGCTTGCCTGTAGAAACAGTAATCCTCTAGGCAACCTCAGGGCAAACACAAAAAAATGCCTTTTCTTCAGGGTGGACACATCCTAATACCAGTGGCTGTGGGTTGGCCAACAAAAGCCCTGCATGTTTTTGTGATCTTGACACTGGGTGGCTGAAAGTGAATGCTAAATGAAAATACAGAGCTCCTGTAATAGAAAGGTCTCATTTAAAATTAATGTGAGAATATTAAATGTTGGCTTCTCTGAGAATGTAACACTTTATGTGTCTCCCCACAGCACCTGAGGAAGGATCTTTTACATTCCTAAATGGCGAGGCTGTGGAACACAGTGAAGACAGTAAAGATCGGACCATCATGCTGATGGGAGTATCCTCACAAAAGATTTCTGTTCGGCTTAAGAGGACTGTTGCCCACAAGACTACCCAGACTGAATTGCTACCCTGGATTGGCAGTGAGGGCCCTTCTGGTCACTTTGTGCTGTCCTCTCCAAGGAAGACAGCTCAGGATACCCTTTATGTGCTTCCCAGTCCTACATCTCCATGCCCCAGTCCAGTGTTGGTCAGAAAGCGGGCATTTGTCAAATGGGAAAATAAAGAGTCCCTCATAAAATCAAAGGAAGAGCTCCGTCATCTCAGACTCCCAACGTATCAAGAGCTGGAACAGGTACCTTCCTTTTTATTTCTCTTTTTCCAGACTCTCAGACAAGTACAGCTAACCAGAGAAGAACACATGTGCTAAAGACTGAGGAAATTCAATTCAAGTTGATTAATGGCTGGGTAAAGGAAAAGAAAAATTAAAAAACCAGGAAAAAGGGAGGAATAATGCTACCAATTATAGTCTACAACCATACCACCCTGAACGCACCTGATCTCGTCTGATCCCAGAAGCTAAGCAGGGTCGGGCCTGGTTAGTACTTGGATGGGAGACCAATTACAGACAATCCATTTTAGAGACAAGAAAGCAAGGATATAGTAGTTTTAACATTAATATTCATTTTAACAAAGGAGAAGAATGCTTGCCTGTCTTTTCCCTAAAACATCAAGGTTTGTACTGTGTTTGGAGGCCTATCAGTAAAAACACATAACTCAGCATCCACTTATGTATAATGCTTATATAATTCTACCCACCACACAACAAAATTGCCCATGAGGCCTCAGGATTCCCTGCATTGTTCTCAATATTGTACCTCACCTCCTGCATCCCTGTCAAACTCCCATGTATGGAATTAGACAAAAGCTAGATAATATACAATGTGAAGCTTGATTTCAGGGTTGAAGAACATATTAAGAAAATCTTGCTCTAAATATTTTTTTTATTTTTATTTATTATTTGAGAGAGAGAGAGAGAGAGAGAGAGAGAGAGAGAGAGAGAGAGAGAGAGAGAGAGAGAGAGAGAGAGAGGTGTGTGTGTGGCCAGCTCAGCCCACCAGGGGGCGGGGCTGGCATGTGGTGCTGGGGGATCGAACCGCGGTCCCTGATGCCTTGCCAAGCTTGTTCCAAGTAGGTGCTTTAGACCACTGAGCCATCTCTCCAGCCCTCTAAATATTTTTAACACATGCTTTAGAAAAGAAGTCTGTCAGAGGACGATCAAATGAGCTGAGTAACAACCCAAAGTGTTTACACATTATCCAGACATTGCCCACATATTTTTGTGCAATTAGGGTAGTACAATGTAAGGACACTGGCCTCAAACTCAGAAGCCTGAAAATCAACTGATAGCAATATAAATCACTGCATACTAAATCACTAAAACTCAGTCTATGGGAGTATGATAAAAATATTTTATCAAAAATGTACATTTTCAATGATGTAGTAGGAAAAACAGGCTACATACACTACAGCATCTCATAGTACAGAATTTCCAGGCACTACTTTATGGCTCCAACTTGACCAAACTGTTTATGCTAATTAGGGTCTGCTACATAATATCTAAAGGTTTTGTCACCCTCTACCCACTGGCAAGGAATGGTTCACTCTGCCTGCCAGACCCTTATTATCTGTGATACAATAACAAAGGTTAACTGCTATTGCATGTGCTCATTTGATATTTAACATGTTATTTTCTATTCACTGCCCGATAACTACTTTAAAAGTTTTTAATTCTCAACCACAGTGGTTAGGAAATGCCAATCAATTGTGGTACTCAAGATTGTAACTGATTTTTCTAGTCATTGATCTAATCTAATCATTGTTTTATTAACATATGTATTTATTTTCCCTTTAGGAAATAAACACCCTGAAAGCAGACAATGATGCCCTAAAAATCCAACTAAAATATGCACAGAAGAAAATAGAATCCCTTCAGCTTGAAAAAAACAATCATGTCTTAGCACAAATGGAACAGAGTGACTGCTCTTAGCTAGAAACTCAAGCAGCACAATGGGTACACTGGAGCTCTGCCTTCCTAAGCTGATTAACACAAAGATGCGCAACTTTAGATGGACTGTCTTTAAATGGAGTACTTTAAGAGAAAGCCACTTACTGTATTGTTTTTTAAACCTAAGATTCTTAATGCACAGTACTGTTTCTCTGTCAGCTGACTCAAACTAGAAGAAAGCTGAAGGATGCAAAACTTTTCATATTCCATACTAGTTTGTTTTCCTTTCCAGAATAGCAAGTGTCCTAATACATGACTATAGTTTCCTAACAAGGTAGTGTCTCATATGGCCTTCTGACTGATTCTTTAAACTAAACTTTCTGGAAAATGAATTGGCTTTATCTCTGGGTTTTCTACAGAGGGATTTCCTTTGTTCCATAAGCTTTACTGACAGTGAAAAAATACTCATATTCCAAAAGTAGTTGGACATGTAAGTCCCAGCATTCTTTGTGTATCTGACTCCTGCTTCACTACCTCAGATCTAATCATTCACCTCTTTCTCCTCCTTTGTCACTATGCCACACATATAAACTTATCTCCTAAGAAGGGAACTTCCAGAGATGCAACCCTGGCTTTTTAGTGGTTATTAAATGTGACATTCTCCAGACACAGATCGATTAGTTCTAATCTTAAAGTTATCATAAAATAAACTCGGTATCTGGAAACATAGCTACTACCATCTCATACATGACTTGCTGACTAGCTAAAATAAGCATAATGTAGACATGTTTGTCCTCATTATACAGTGAATAGAAAGAAGGAGGAATTTATGGGTTTTTTAAAGCAAGTCTGTAAAGAGTATTTAATCTTAATGTTTCAACTTTTTTAAGTAAACTATTTTTAAAATTCTCTTTTGAACTAATTTTGTGCTTAAACTGTCTTCACTATTGATACTACTTAGAGAAATAAGCTAATTGGATCAGCAATGTAAATAATTGCTGACAGCATGTACATATGTATATAGTATGTATATACAGTATCAGGCACGCATGTGGTTTAGACTTGGCTCCGTAATTTTTTTTTTTTTTTTTTCCAAAATACTAAGTAACAAGCCCAGTGAATATTCTGCTATGGAGGTTAGTGAATGAGCTCAGTTGGGGTCTAGGCAATTATTCAACCACTGACAATCATTTTCTTTGGGGGAGAAGGGTGGACTTAAGCTTCCATGCTTGGAAAATCCAGCATCAGGCTGATTTATAATTCATATACAAAGTGGCCAACTTCCAGGAATATAATTGTAATTAAAAGTTTCAAATCTAAAGCCAAAGCATCACATCCTCATAAGAATACAAAACATACAGTGTTGCCTATATACAGGATTCAGATAATTTAAGATTTTTTTGAAGTATGATTGCTTCCATTTGCATACATCTTTGTACTAAGTTTTAGTGACAGAGAACTTAGAAATGTTTTATTAAATTTTAAAGAACTGCTTCACACATACTTTTTATAAATACAAATTCAGAAATCCTCAAAGCAGGGCTGCTTAGGTCCATACCTGGAATACTTTATGAGCACTAGTACTAGATTTATATGGAATAGGTTATGAAAATGTTAAAATTCAGATTCTTATTGACAGACTAAATATACCTCAATTTTTTACATATAATCAATAAATTTGTTCAGACTTTCCACTCAAAGACCTCAAGCTAGATTTTACGTAAATAATCTGTAATATGTAGGATTTCAAAAGGTCACAGTTATTAAATTATCATGCCTAGATAATCTTGGGCAGTGAACAGTGTTATCACTGAAATGAATATAGGGCCAAAGTATCATCACAGGTTTTAAAATTCAATAAGGATAAAAGGATAATGTTATCTTAATATTATTTATGTTGTACAGTGGGAGCTAGTGGAATTTATAGAATATTCCTGAAACAGTGGTTTACCCAACCTACAATGCAAATTAGTGTTTCTCATACTGACTTGAAATAGTTTGGACTGATATTTATCTGCCAAGACAAAGATAATTCTTGTGTTATTAATAGTGCCACTCTCATTTTTTTTTTTTTTAATTCTCCCTTTCACTGACCATTTGTGAATCTATCTTAAGGTAAATAATGTAAAAGGTCTGCAAGAAAAAAATGTACAGGTTGTAAATTTTTTGATAATGTAAGTCTACTTTGTGTAATATTTATATGATAAAAATATCAGCATCCCACAACATACATGTCTTGTGTTCCTTCTTCAGCTGCATGAATATGTACAAATCTCACCTGAAATTTTACTATCTGTTTATGTGCGGACTACTCCTCTATGAAATAGTTTTGTCCTAGAAGCAAAAGCAAAGCAACTAGATTATTCAGTTTGAATGTTCTGGTATCTTTTGTAGCACAAAATAACAGTACAGGAATATCCAGTCTTTTCTCATAATTATTTACAGTGACCCTCCCATGAAGTCTAAAAGTACATTAAAGAGAAAAAAAATTGACTATTGTCATTTTTCTGTGGCTTCTGTCTTTAATTTCAATTCTACATAAACTAAATACCAACTAATGAAGAAAAAAAATGGTCAAAGATGGTTCAATCTAGTGTGCAGACCCCCCTACTGAAACTCATTCATAGTCATAATTTAGAGCACTTTTTCTCTTGTTCCCCAGCCAATTTTTCTCTTAACTGAACCCATGGAACAAGGAGTTGACCCACTCAAATTCCACTGTGAATGCATTCTGGTACATTTGGTGGGACAGTATCATTTTGGCAATTCATAGTATTTCATACAAAAGAGTGAAATTGCACAGACAATCTGAGTCTTCAGGAAAACTTAGATTGCTTCCTCACCTCCACCCCACTTCTCATCCCAAATTCTTTCTACCCTGTGCTCCTTTCGAGGTACAGACATATCACTGCTCAGAACATTTTCTGGCCACAAATATATTTTAGGTTGCCATGTCTTTTGTCACATTTACACATAAATAGAATATTGCTTGAACTCTTTTTTTCTTTAATGAGGCAGATTTCTGAAGATCTGTACAACATAAGGAAACGTTCAAGAAAATGTCTATTTCCTTTTTGATTACAGCTTGAGTGATACAAGGCATTTATGTATATCATTCATGTATGGCTAGAACTTAGGTGCTTTATATGGCCTGAAAGAAGGGGCAATTACTACTTCAGTCCAGAAACTCCTGGTGAGATCATGTCTTTAGGTGTTACTGTACGAGGTGCCACAGGCTGGACAAACATAGGAAAAGTAAAGAGAAGGAAACAAAGATGGAAAAAAATAATTGAGAACCAAGTCACAAAAAAGGTATCAGGCTTTAGGAAGATGTGAAGTGCCATTCATTATATTCTATATTTCTATTCCACTGAATTTATAAAACACTTTCACCTTATGAACTTTCATATTGCCCCGTAACACTTTGTTGGTCTTCTAGATTATTGCTCAACAAACTTTCTGCATGAAATGTCACTAATGAAAAATTGAAAATCTTGCCTTATAGGGAGAGTGAGATATTAATGTCTATATGGCTAAGTTTTTCATTGAAGAGTTTCATAAGACTGGGCATGGTGGGGTGCATCTGTAATCCCAGCTCTGGGGAGGCTGTAAACAGGTGGATCACTATGAGTCCAATCTAGTAGTGAGACCTTGAATACCCTATAGATCCTTCTCTAAAAAACAAAAAAAAAAAAAAAAAAAAGTTTGACAGGAATGTGTAAATAAGAGTGGTTCCAACTCTAGCATCAGTCTAGAAGCGCTCAATTTAAATTGTGAGGTATGAAGAAATCTTACATTCACAAGCTAATATTTGTTAATTTACTATAACTCTTAATGTTAAAAAAAAAATAACCCACCTGCTAAACATCAGTCTTTCTGTCAAGTTGGTTGGAGTATAAAAAGCTTTTATGTACAGGTGTGGACTCGTTGCCCACAATGAGATACAAACTTTGCAAAAGGAATAAAAAGACTCACAGCAGGGCTGAATAGAGAAGCCTCATTCAGAGCTACTCGGAGAAATTCAACTAAAAACATGTAATTGGAAGAAAGGGGGTCATACATCTTCAAACCAAAATCAATCTGAAAAACACAGAAAGGTTCTTAAAATGGCCAGCCAGCCACCTGACTCCTGGAGGGCTATTGCCCACCATACTAGGAGGCTTAAAAAAAAAAAAAAAATATATATATATATATAGATAGATAGATAGATATAGATATAGATATATAGATATATAGATATATAGATATACTAAAATAGTACAGCTAAGTCTAGCCACACAGGATAAACTTCATATATAAGGTCCCCTGCCTCTTTTGCCTTTCTCCAGAGGATGCTACAGCCCAGCATAAATTCCGCTAGCACACAGAGGAGAAAACTGCTCCCTCCTTAAGGATCAGCTTTCTTTTTTTCTTTCCTCTTTCCACCTTTTGGCCTTTGTCTTTTCTTTTCTTTCCTTTCCTTTCTTTTCCTTTTGTGCACCAGAATGCCAACTGGAAACTCTAGGGATATGATTAAAGACTACAGAGGTGTGTAGCAAATGGAGCAGCTAACCTCTCCCCCATGACCTGTGGCTACAGAGATGTAGAAATTAAACAGCCTTGCACTGTGGGACTACGCAGCCCAGGGCTGTCCCCATGCCAGGGGCAGGCAGAGAAAGTCACTCCACATCACTGCACCACACCTCACTGAACAACAAAGGGTTATGGACTACAGCAAAGGTGGCAATAGGATTCACAAGCAAGAAGTGGGAGGTCAGCACTCGCCTCTCCAGAGAGGAATAAGAAATGGGACTGAGCAAGCTTCAAAGGCATCTGTAAGAGCAGAGTCAGACCACATCCATGCATCCCACATCCCATGCCACCCTGCAACAAATGACCTGAGAGGATACAGATTTGCCAGGGGAAGAGGAACACAGAGAAGGCTGAGAAAAGACCAGCAGAAACCAGGTCTTTCATAGGAAAATGAAACAGCCCCCACCCCTCCAATCTCTGAGGGCAGCACAGCAACTGGGACAGAGAAATAGGCTAAGAACTGAGCAGGCTGTTACAGGACATATAGAAAGTACAGGTTAAAGACTACCCCCATCCCCATATCTCAATGCCAAGACTGCCCCACATCCAGCACAAACCCTACTGCAGGCTCAACAGTGTTATCTAGCAGGTTCAGTCTCTCAGTGGACACCAGTGGAATTTTTGTTTTTTATTATATTTTTATTTTTTTTGTTGATTTATTTCATTTTCCTTCTCATAGGTCTTTTACTTATATTTTTGTTCAAACCTATTTATCTTCTTTCCCCCTTTACTCAATTAGCTCTCTAGATTTTATCATATTTCCATGAGGGAATAGTCTCTCTAATCTTCCTGGTTAAATAATTCCATTACTCCTTTAATCTTTCTCTTCTGCCCTCTTCTTTAACTTGCCAAGACTTGTGTGGTTATCCTTTGTCCTCTAGCCATGCTTCTGTTTTATCCACTATCTTTTAAATCCCACCCCCTCATGGAGTAAAACTAATCTACAGAGGAGAAACACTTTGCATACTAGCTCCCAATTTATAATGAGTTCTGTTATATAACTGCAGATTTTACTCCTATGGTTTAAGATACAAAATTAAGTGACCACTGTTTATCAGTTTCTAAGCTATGCTCTATGCTATTGTTATTGCTAATTATACTACTTTAGCTAGGATGTCATATCTGTTATAATCAGTTGTTCTCCCTTCTGTAACAATACGGGGAAGCTCTAGGGTAATAACCTCACCACAGCCTATCACCAAAGGATTGGTGACTGAGCCAAGCAGGTACCAACATCTCACTCTCAATTACAAAGGCAGAATCTTGGAACAGACATAATCCATGAACTTCCTACACACAGAAAAAATCCCTAAAGAACAGACATTGCCTAGGGAGGTCTTTGATGCTAGTGATCAAACTATCTACTATGAAAGTTAGAAGAACACAAAACAAAATAAAAAAATTTAAAAAATAGAAAATGATAGGACACAGAAGCAATATGCAACCTCAAACCTCCAGCCCACCCAGAACAAGTCTAGGAGACAAAGAAATAGTGGAAAATGAAAGACACACACTTGAAATTTCTGAAATGATAGCAACTGAAGTAACAAAACAAATGTATGAGGCTATAGAGGAAATCAGAAATAATCTCTCAGATAAAAAAAGAAATGATGGGCTGGGGTGATGGCTCAGTAGAATAAGTGCTTCCCTGGCAAGCGCAATGGCCTGAGTTCAATCCCCAATTGAAAAAAAAACAAAAAAACACAGAAATGACAACCATAATGAAGGAATTGCTTGGCAAATCTATAGCAGGCATTCATTAAAAATAGAAACATAGAAAAATGATGAAATCCATGAATGCCCAATATAGGACAAAATAGAATATATGAAATGGATTCAAATAGATATCCAGAAAATTAATAAATCCATGTAAAGCTTACAAAACTGCATGAACATGACTTTCAGACCTTGAAGATAGGATCCCAGCTACCAATTCTAAATGGAAAGATCTTTTAAAAATAACAAGGGATCAGGAAAAAAAAATAACATCTGCAAGATAGTGCAAAGAAAAAAAAATAAGGTTGATTGTTATCAATGAAAAAAGCAAGAGTCAACACAAATGACATAAAGAGACTTATGCAGAATAGGAGAAAATTTCTCACTCATGGGAAAAGAATTTGACATATAGTTAACTGAGACATATAGAAATCCAATTAGCCATGACCAAAAGAAATCTACACCAAGGCATATAATAATCAAGATCCCAGAAATTTAGCACAAGAACAATTAAAAGCTATGAGAGAAAAGAAACAGATCACCTATAAAGGAAAGGCCATGAGAATCATGGCAGACTGCTCTACACAAACCTTCAAATTAAGAACGTGGAAGGAAGTATTTTGAGTCCTGAAACAAAATAACTTCCATACCAGACTGACGCACCCCGAAAAACTATCTTTCAAAATTAATGGAGAAATAAGACACTTTCATGAAAAAAAAAAAAAAAACAAAAAAACAACTGATGAAACCAACCCTGCAGAGAGCACTAAAAGGTATTCTTTTTCGAGACAGAGATAAAAATGATCACAAATCCAAGAACCACAGAAAGAAACCAACAAGTGAGGCAAACGAACAGAGGGGAAAAGCAGAGAACTAACAGCAGGAAAACAACATGACAAAGATAATACTTATCAGGTATAAGCATCAATATAAAGGACCTCTTCCGGGGACAACCCGTTCGGGACCCCCTCCTGTCCCTCTCTTGGACAGCAGCTTTCTTTCCCTCAATAAAAATAAATATATTCTGTTCTGTCTCTCTGTCTCTGTCTGTCTGTCTGTCTGTCTGTCTGTCTGTCT